AGCAAAACTTTGTGTAGCCTAGCTGCAGCCCAAGTAAAAGTGCAACAACTTTCAAATCGCCACAAATATGCCATTGGTGCTCATCGTATTTTATGCATGTCAATAGGTACTTCATATTGTCATATGATTCTTTCATGTGAACTGCATACCCTACAGGAAGAGATGGTAAAATATTTCCAATATGCAATAACACTGCCTTTAAACTCAATGTTGAACTGTCTATAAACAATCTCTATTCTTCTGGGTTATAGTTTATATTTAAAGCCGCCAGTAAGCCGTTAATGTTACTGCAGAAAACCAAGTTGTTCTCCATATTGAAAAATGGTTCTAAGTCTTTGTGGCGTTTACGAAAAACACATACCGAAACATCGTCTTCTAACAAGTTCCACTGCTGCAGTCTTGATCCAAGTAACTCTGCCTTACATTTTGGAAGTTCTAATTCTCTTACAAGATCATTTAATTCTGACTGTGTTATTTTGTGCGGTTGGTGGCATGACGTGCTCGGTATAAAATCAGGATCTCTTGACGTTGATGGCATATCTTCTTCCTGACGAATCACTCGATCGCCATGATCTGATTCGTTTCCTGATTCGCAAGTGTAGGATTCTGGGGGTTTTGGAATAGGATTTTCGTCACTGTGAGGCACAGGTCTCATCGCAGATGGTATGTTTGGGTAGTTAATAACCGATTTTTTTTTCTTGGACATACCTGTGGCTTGTCCAACACAAGGTACCATGCAAAAGTAACAATCATTAATATGATTTGTAGGCTCTCTCCAAACCATTGAAACAGCAAAGCGCATATACCGTTTTTTGCCATTTAACCAGCTCCTCAGACTTGAAGCACATGTATTACAGCAGATGTGGGGTGCCCACTGTTTGTCTTGATCACCTAGTTTACAACCGAAATAAAGCTGATATGCCTTTGTTATTAGTGGAGTAATAGACCGTCTCTGAGACGCAAAAGTCACATCACCACACACGTAACAAAACTGATCTGGATTGTTTACACACTTTCGAGACATCTTGCATGAACGCTGTCAGCCAACTGAGGAAAACATGGCTAATATAAAACAATATAATGTACACGTATGTATAACGTAACACAATCATGCCGATTACATCATCTTTCCTTGCCGAATATAAAAATGTAGCACGTGCATTCTTGTGAATTACAGTATATTAACACTGTCACAGCAGGAACACATATAATTACCGTATCTCTAAAACTTGAACTAATATTGAAAAAATAAGTTTCATTCCGGTTTTAGCAGATTAAAAATAGTAATGTTTTGTTGATTTTATTTAGGATATTTTTTGGCTGTTGATCAATGTTATTATAGCGGCATCTATCAGCAAATCGTCAAAAAAATCGACCTCGGACATGTATTGTGTACCTACGCCACGGGTACTTTTATACGAGAATCTGGTTGTTTATTCAAATGTGGTTTGGGTACCTCATTGTTCCAAGTCATTTTTGCTGTTAAGTATCGCCCACATCTGTCCTGCCTAACCTCGGGATAGATACTTCTTTGAGCGCTGCTGACACGGCGAAACTTTACCGGGGTGTAATTTCAGCCGTTCCTTTCATGGTGTTCGGTACCCCTTTCCGACGGGAAGACGCAGCACAAGCAGTGACAAGTTACCCTAATTCCTTTGGAGGACGTCGAGTAGCGTCAGTGAAAGGCAATATATTTAGAAATTCCGAAAATGCCCGGGCAGTCCGTGAGAGTATACGGGTGAGTCGGTCATGCTGACTTTGCGAAAAGCTTGCGGTCGTCTTCGTCGAGAATAATCGCGGCTAGGTGGCCGTGCCGCAGGGAGGGGCTGAACAGGGTTTTGACCATCGATGTTGTGGGCGACTTCTATTAGTAGTGTTACCAGATCTAGGGAAATTTCCCTATATCTAGGGAATTACGAGCAAGCTTAGGGAAAAAGGAAAATTTATTTACATTTGTACAAAATCTAGGAAATTATAAACTCTGTAAGATAAGCAGCAGGGACAAAAAATAAACGAGAGATAGAGAATAAACTAAAAAGCAAATATATTACTTTTAAAATACCTTCCAAATTTCTGAGAGCTCTATATTACTTGTTTGTTCTGCCAAATTGCTGTATTTGCGAATAAGAGTAAAATTATAACAGTGTTCTGTCCAAATGTGTATATACGCGGTTTCTGGTTGTAAAACTTTTACGAGCCATAATTTTTGTTTTGACACATGCGTTGACTGCGAAAAGGATAATAAATCGATACATCCATTGTATGAAGCCGGCTCAGTTTGGGTGTTCATTCACGGCTGAAATCAAACATTATTTCGTATATTTTTAGACCGGATATAAAATGTTTTGTTTAATACCAGGCGTATCATAAAATTCTGTCGAATGTTTTTTGAACCGATCAATAGGTGAGCTAATTTTGAAATACGGCGTACTGCGTCTCAATTAGATGAACAAATTATTTATTCGAATCTGATACAAAGCGAAGCTGTTCTAAAACATGCTTTCCATTGATTAGGCGTCGTAATAGTTATTTACCAAAATTGTTTTCGTCACCATTTTGCACTCTTTGGTAACTTTTAGCATGGAAAGAGACAAAGCTTTCTAAGATTTATAATAAATATGCTAAGCAGATTCTCTCTTGAACATTCCTCAGGGAGCGTTGTTCGCTTTAATTCCAAGGCGGGAACACCGATAGAATTCCATGATTTCTTGATCAAATGCAACTATACTAAGTGACATATAAATCCGAACACCCAGTTTAAATGGTTTCATTTTAATAAAAGTTGGTGAATGTATTTATCTTACTGTAAATAACAAGTGAAAAAATTTTCAGCCTTATCAGTTGGACATTCCGGTTTTTATACTGCTTTTTTTAATTCACTAACGCTCTAAAAATGAATATTCCTGCCGCAGTAAAGAATCAACGTTGGCGGATTTTGATTCTTGACATCCTTTACGATCGGTTACGGTGACTAGAGTACGGAGACCTGTACGATTTCGTCAACTTAGTGAGTTTGATAGGGACCGTATAGTGGGACTTCGGGAAGCTGGACTTTCTTTTCGGGCAATTGCAGTTAGAGTGCAAAGAAGTGTAGACACTGTGGTTAGGTGTTGTCAGGCATGGCTTCGAGAAGGCCGTACGCAAAGAGCAAGGGGCACTGGACGCCGCCGTAGAACAACAGACCGTGAAGATCGCCGCCTAAGATTATTGGCCTTAAGGGACCGTTTGTCCACTACCAGGTCCATTGCAAATTAATGGTTTGCAGAACACGGAAGACCTATTGGCATACGAAGTGTTTACCGACGAATGAGAAGTTTTGGCTTGTTTTCATACCGGCCACAATGGGTCCTCCCTTTAACTCGAGAACACCGACGTAATCGCCTTGAGTGGTGCAGACAACGGTCACTCTGGGATCAGGAATGGAACAGTATTATCTTTAGTGACGAGTCTCGATTTTGTTTAGGCATGCACGATGGTCGTTCCAGGGTTAGAAGGCGACGTGGTGAAAGGAGGAATCCACAGTTTTTTGTTGAAAGACATGTTCATCACACTGTTGGAGTTATGGTTTGGGGTGCTATAGCTTATGGTTCCAGGTCACCTTTAATCTTCATCATAGGTAACATGAACGCGCAGCGTTATATCCACGGAGTTCTAGAACCCCATCTTTTACCCTATCTTGACACCCTGGCAGATCCAACTTTCCAACAAGATAATGCCCGACCACATGTTGCAAGAGTCACAACAGACTTCTTTCAACATAATGATGTCACATTGTTACCATGGCCACCAAGATCTCCCGACTTATCCCCAATTGAGCACGTGTGGGATATGATGGGTAGGAGATTGCTCAATTTGCAACGTCCTCCTCAGACTCTAGAAGCACTTCGAGAGGAGTTGGTGGTTGCCTGGAATGAGATACCACAGGAGGACATTGACCACCTGATCAGACGCATGCCTAGGCGCGTTGGAGAATGCGTAGCACATCAGGGTGCATCCACACATTATTAAAGGTCAAAGGGCTTTAAAGCAGTGCAATCATTTTGAAATTTTTATCATTTACTTATTATGCTTCATTAAGTACTTATACAAAATTTTATTAAAATAAAACCATTTAAACTGGGTGTTCGGATTTATATGTCACTTAGTATAGAACTGATTCAAGACCAAGTGAATACAAGCCTTGACATTCCAATGTCTAAAAAGTTTGGAGAAGGCTGGAAAGGTGTGGATGCCAAGAAAATACAGATTTCTTATACTGAAAAACTTTCATGCCTAAATATTTCAGAGACTGTGATAACTTTGTCGACATGAATTGACCAAACAAATTTCTAGAAATAACTATCGAGAATTAATAGAACTTTCAATAATATTCCTTGGCAGAGATACAGCCCCCATAGGCTGGCATACCCTAGCGTACATTTCCAGAGACGAAAAGCAAACAGATACCATGCAGTTCACAAAAAAAATCTGAATAGAATTCTGTAATAACATAACAATTTTCAAGATCCTTTGCTAGCTTCGCTAGCACACGAAGTTGAGGGCGTACCTGCCAACGCATATTTTCAAATGACTCCCCTAGAGGCGAGCATTAATGAAATTGTACGAGCAGCTCGTTTCCGCTCTTATGGAGCGAATAACATGAAAACAACCTCGCAACATGAATGCCCAGAATCGCGGAAAAAATGAAGCTCGGAAATATGAACATGGGGTAAATGGGAAACGCCTTCTTAGCGGATTCAGTGCGTACACGGTACGTCAGCATGTTTGTATCGCTACTTTAAAGACAAAACGAAATTAAAAAATTCTGCCACATCTGGGAAAGTTGAGCGGCACTTGGAAATGTGAATAAGCTGTATCGCTGTTGTTAGTATCGTTGTTCCTCATGTGAAACTCTCAAACTATTCAAAATATTCAAGCTTGCCATACACTTCAAAGATGGTGAGTCAGATTCCTGAAAAGCAACGTGTACGAGCAGCTTAAGCTTTAAGGAGGCACGTCTCTTTTTTTAGATTTTTACAACCACCTGTTTGCAGCAGCATTCTAAGTCATTTTCATCCGATAATTTCATGGTGTGTATAGAGATGACCAGTGGCAACTCGTGGCAAAATAAAACAGGTGTTCTGCAAATTCGAACTTATCTATTTTTTATATGTCAGTTCGATCCTGAGCTCCTTCTTGGCAGCAAATGTGTCGATCACCTTCCCGTTGAAGTTTTCCATGGTCGAAATAAATTCCTTTTCAATGGACAGCATCGACAACGCTGTAAGGCGATCCCGGGTCATAGTATTTCAAAGAAAGGTCTTGATTCTTTTCAATGTTGAGAAATTTCGCTCAGCCTCTGAGGTTGACGTAGGAGTTGTAACAATAATTTCTAATAGATTTTTTGTTTCTTTTAGTGTTTCCCCCAAACGATTTTGTATCAAAAATTTCATGTAAATCTCGGCAATCATTCCGTGCATAAATAACAGACAAATCTGTCTTTATACGACTTTTTTCTAATTTGGGATAAGCCAAGCAGGTAGTTTCCAACTTGTCATCAGGAAACTTACTACAATATTCTCCAAAGTCTTCGGGGGAAAAAAGTTATGCGGCTACCAAATAATCTTTGGATTGAAATCTGTCATTTGCAGAATTCACTATATTGTCGCATGCTTCTAATGCGGTAACCCGGTGATCGTGACTGCTATTATTATGTCGTCTTCTTTTGTTGCCTTGGGGTTCAATGCAAATACTTTTGGCTTCATTTATTATGTCATCAATTTTATTTCTCACATCGACAATACATTTTTCATAATTATCTATAGCCGTTTCAACTTGCGCTGTCTCGGTTTTTCTCTTCTGGAACTGGTTGAACAAGATGTCGACGTGAGGCATGACATGATGTAAAAATGTCGACCAAAAAACGAAAACAGAATCGTTTAACATGCGGCAAATACTGCAAGCTGCCTTGCAAAGGGTTTAGTTAGTAAAATTTTCTTCTATTTCTTCCATGCATTCAATGAGTGATTCTCTGTTCTCAAACACTACATTTATTGTTCGAATATTAAAATTCCAACGAGTTCTTGCTCCTTGGGGAATTTTTTCCCCACAATTCTGTTCAGTACCTCTACGCGTTGAGGAGAATTATTAAAAAATCCCGGAATATCTTTCACGACCCCAAAGAACACCCGAACTTGAGCATTTGTCGAAGCAGCCTGGGACATAATCAGGTTTAACTGATGCGCATAGCAATGCACATAGTGAGCAAATGGATATCTTTGTTTAATTTTTGCCTGTACTCCAGCATTATGTCCGCTCGTTACCGCGGTTGCATCACAGCTTTGTGCAATCAGTTTGTTAGGGAAATTTCTTATCAATGGATCTATGACGCTCAAAATATGTCTTGTAAGAGTATCAGCGTCACATTTTTCGGGATTCATATAATTCCAAAAACGTTCTATTGGTTCGCCGTTAAATACGTATCTGAAAATTGTTACCAGTTAGGTTTTCCCGTTGTTTCATCTGATATTATCGCCAAATATGAGGCTCTGTTAATCTGTTTTATTATTTCTTCATGGCAAACTTCAAGAATATAATCCAGTAGATCGTTTTGCATTTCTTTCGAAGTTCCTTTAAACATTGAAGCATTTTTTATGTGTTCGCTTAAGGTTGTATCAAGCTCAGCAGAAAAATTAATCAGTCCACGAAATATTCCCGGGTTTTGAGAGATCTCGGTTTCGTCGTGGTTTCGTAGCGCCAATTCAAATGCTCCGCAAAATTGTATACAATCGATTATTTTTGATAGAACGGTATCATTATGTTGTTGCATATTTCTCCAATATGCTGAATCTAACTGAGCTCTGATGTTAACAGTCCCCAAAAAAGCCAATTCCACCGAATTATGAAGATGTGTTTTAAAGCTTTCATTCATGCTTCTTAATTTTTTAATTAATTTAAATAACTAAATAAAAATTTGTTTCATTCTAATTTTAAGCCACATCACGCGACAAAGCAATATGCCAATACCGCCGAGGACCGAGCACCGACCGACCAATCAGATACCGTACTTCGCATTAGATCTGTACGGATCTGAATAAATTGCAGCACATGTTTAAGCTTAAATCGCGCATTTGATTTTGTAGAGAGAGACAAAAGCAAGCGCGTGCAGCTTGGTAGAAGTAGTGCACAGACCCTTTTCAAGTGGCCCATGAATAATGTTACGCTGCGGTCGCGACGAAAATGACAAGTACACAATGCAGAACTTAAGGGCCAGCCGCCCATGGAGATGACTGAAAAAAAGTTTTCATTTTTTTTTTGTAAAAGATGCATTTTTTGCGCATTTGTTCAATCAGAACTTATTAACAAATATAAGGACAGCTCTGAAATTGTGCGTGAATATTCCTCTTTTATAGAAGGTGATTACTTTTATTCTTATCGCTTTTCTTTTCGAAAAACCTTTGATTTCCTTGAAGCCTCGTCTCGCAGCAAGTTGAGTAATTAAGAAAAGCAAGGATTTTTCGAAGAGAAAAAGTGATGAGGATAAAAGTAATCACTATTCACAAAATTTACGTACAATTTCAGAGCTGTACTAAAAAAGCGAAAAAATAGACGTGCAACCCTGAGGCTTGATTTTGCTATTTACTTTTAATTTGCACCTATGTCATAAATTTGCCAACCAAATACGCGCGCAATTTGGATTTCTACGAAATCTTACGTCAGCATTTTTGTCCTTGAAAATAACAAGCCTCAAATGAGTAACGATGTCATAATCATTTTTGTACGTTGCGTCCTGTTAAGCGATCTGAATAAATAGGGAGAATCCAATAATATTTGATGCATCGAAGATAGATTTGCACACTATATTGTTTTTTGTTTGTTCTAGGTAAGCAAACTCCATACCATTATAACCACTCGAAGAAGCACAAGTAAGTACATAGGTATACTAATATCACACCAATATTGACACCAGTGTCAGTCAAAGGAAAAACGTGTCTGAATGATAAAAAGATTCAATGTTTGGACAAGACTCTGCGAAAGTATGTACCATCCATTTCACTTCCCACGGTTCTGGCGATGACGTATTTTAGTCGTAAAGAAAAATGTCATATTATATGTTTTTGGATATTGCATAGCATCCACATCACAAAAGACTGTTACTCGTTGACTTTTGAAATATATCCTAAGACAGTAAAATAATGATTATTACTTACACTTACTTTCATGAACAAATCATAAGAACTAAATATACTAAGTGACATATAAATCCGAACACCCAGTTTAAATGGTTTTATTTTAATAAAAGTTGGTGAATGTATTTATCTTACTGTAAATAACAAGTAAAAAAAATTTCTGCATTATCAGTTGGACATTCCGGTTTTTATACTGCTTTTTTTTTGATTCACTAACGCTCTAAAAATGAATATTTCCGCCGCAGTAAAGAATCAACGTTGGCGGATTTTGGTTCTTGACATCCTTTACTTTCGGTTACGATGCCTAGAGTACGGAGACCTGTACGATTTCGTCAACTTAGTGAGTTTGATAGCGGCCGTATAGTGGGACTTCGGGAAGCTGGACTTTCCTTTCGGGCAATTGCAGTTAGAGTGCAAAGAAGTGTAGACACTGTGGTTAGGTGTTGTCAGGCATGGCTTCGAGAAGGCCGTACGCAAAGAGCAAAGGGCACTGGACGCCGCCGTAGAACAACAAACCGTGAAGATCGTCGCCTAAGATTATTGGCCTTAAGGGACCGTTTCTCCACTACCAGGTCCATTGCAAATGAATGGTTTGCAGAACACGGAAGACCTATTGGCATGCGAAGTGTTTACCGACGAATGAGAAGTTTTGGCTTGTTTTCATACCGGCCACACTGGGACCTACCTTTAACTCGAGAACACCGACGTAATCGCCTTGAGTGGTGCATTCAACGGTCACTCTGGGATCAGGAATGGAACAGTATTGTCTTTAGTGACGAGTCTCGGTTTTGTTTAGGCATGCACGATGGTCGTGCCAGGGTTAGAAGGCGACGTTGTGAAAGGAGGAATCCACAGTTTTTTGTTGGAGTAATGGTTTGGGGTGGTATAGCTTATGGTTACAGGTCACCTTTAATCTTCATCAGAGGTAACATGAACGCGCAGCGTTATATCCACGAAGTTCTAGAACCCCAAATTTGACCCTATCTTGACACCCTGGCAATTCCAACTTTCCAACAAGATAATGCCCGACCACATGTTGCAAGAGTCACAATAGACTTCTTTCAACATAATGATGTCACATTGTTACCATGGCCACCAAGATCTCCCGACTTATCCCCAATTGAGCACGTGTGGGATATTATGGGTAGGAGATTGCTCAATTTGCAACGTTCTCCTCAGACTCTAGAAGCTCTTCGAGAGGAGTTGGTGGTTGCCTGGAATGAGATACCACAGGAGGACATTGACCACCTGATCAGAAGCATGCCTAGGCGCGTTGGAGAATGCGTAACACATCAGGGTGCAGCCACACATTATTAAAGGTCAAAGGGCTTTAAAGCAGTGCAATCACTTTGAAATCTTTATCATTTACTTATTATGCTTCATTAAGTACTTATACAAAATTTTATTAAAATAAAACCATTTAAACTGGGTGTTCGGATTTATATGTCACTTAGTATAATTTTTTTGCCACTAAAATAATCTCCAAAATAGCCTTAACCGAATAACAATCTGGTGTGACAGTGATCACTTATCCTCATAAGGTTAATCAAAAAACACTGATGAATGTAAGAGGATTTAAAGATCTTGGAGTGATCTTTGACATAACCTTCAGCTTTAATTCTTATATAAATAATCTTCTGAATTCCGTAAATAAAAGTCGGGGTATTGCGTTGTGCAACTCTCGTGATTTTGACAGCATAAAGGCTCTACTCATGTTGTACAATGCATTTGTGATGTCAAAAGTTGAATGCACTAGAATTTGGAATCCTTGTCAAGTATCGATTTGTGTCTCATTAGAAAAAATACAACGTTAGTACGATTTATTACGATTTATTACGATTTATTACGATTTATCACGATTTATCACGATTTATAACGATTTACCTTGATTTATCACGATCTATCACGATTTATCACGATTTATCACGATTTATCACGATTTATCACGATTTATCACGATTTATCACGGTTTATCAGGATCTATCACGATCTATCACGATCTATCACGATCTATCACGATCTATCACGATTTATCACGATTTATCACGATTTATCACGATTTATCACGATTTATTACGAGTTATCACGAGTTATTACGATTTATTACGATTTATTACGATTTATTACGATTTATTACGATTTATTACGATTTATTACGATTTATCACGATTTATCACGATTTATCACGATTTATTACGATTTATTACGATTTATTACGATTTATTACGATTTATTACGATTTATTACGATTTATTACGATTCATTACGATTTATTACGATTTATTACGATTTATTACGATTTATCACGATTTATTACGATTTATCACGATTTATCACGATTTATCACGATTTATCACGATTTATTACGATTTATTACGATTTATTACGAGTTATTACGAGTTATTACGATTTATTACGATTTATTACGATTTATTACGATTTATTACGATTTATCACGATTTATCACGATTTATCACGATTTATTACGATTTATCACGATTTATTACGATTTATTACGATTTATTACGATTTATTACGATTTATCACGATTTATCACGATTTATCACGATTTATCACGATTTATCACGATTTATCACGATTTATCACGATTTATCACGATTTATCACGATTTATCACGATTTATCACGATTTATCACGATTTATCACGATTTATCACGATTTATCACGATTTATCACGATTTATTACGGTTTATCACGATTTATTACGATTTATTTCTGAATAGTTATACAGAATAGATGGTATTTCTTCAGACATAGTTATTCAGCAGGATGGATTGTTAAAGAGACACCATATGCTAAGTGTGGACTACAGGAGAGAAGTGCTCTCGTTAATATTTTTATTTGAAAAACCAATATGATTCTCCGTGTATTCTAAGTCTTGAATGTTATATTTCTTATACCTGTCACCTTATGTTTGTACTCGTACTACGTAAAGTTCGGTTATACCACTAATAATTCGTCGATCTGTTTGTTTTTAATAATCTATAAAGCTTTATTGAAAAGTTCATTATGATTCAGGTGAGTGTATTTACTGATATATAAGACTGACCAGCATTAGCGCAAAACAGAATGGTTTCTAGCCTGCCTACCTACCTATCTTATATCGTCGAAGTTTGTAGTGAAGACGGCTAAGGTCTCCTGCAAGTTATTGCCTACAAATTGACTGGAAAACGAATATAACGCAGGGTTTAAGAAAGCTAGAACAAGCTTTTCGCCTCGTAACTTTGTGGAAACACGACCTTTTTTGTTTTGGCCGTCAGCTGAAATCACAGAACGATAAATCCTGCCCGAAAATGGACGCAAGCCGCAGCTGGTATCGCACAGGATCGGATTCAGGGCGGACTCATTCTAGACGCAAATATCGAAAGAGGACAGAATCTACAGAATGTATAGTTTCGTTCGTTATTATTGAGCCCACTCTCATGCAGGGGGCTTAGTTTAAAGTTATCAATGCAGCGCTGCAACTTATAGAGGAGTGCTCTTAGGTTTGAACTTTTGAATCCTGATCTACTGAATGGATTTTTGAAATATATACGTACACTAAAATGCGCTGAATCCAAAAATGATAATGAAATAAAAAAATTAGTTGCGGCTTATTTTTAAGGATATATTAAAAAAAGTAACAAGATTCATATACTTATAAGAATCACTATATGCGCTGTCTTTTTGCTGTTCTTTTATGGATCGTTTCTGGAGCATCTCTACCAAGAGTCCAACAGTAGTCTGCAAGCATGGAAGGATTCCACTTTCCCTGGTACCTTTTTTCCATTGTTGAAATATCCTGATGAAAACGTTCGCCGTGCTCATCACTTACGGCTCCGCAATTGTCAGGAAAAAAGTCCAGGTGTGAGTGTAGGAAATGTATCTTAAGAGACATATTACAGCCCATCTTTTGATACGATGACAGCATATTTTTGACAAGGGTTTTATAGTAAGTTGTCAGCTTTTCTATTTCCCAAGAAATTAGTGACCACCAGACGGAAATCATTCCAAGCAGTTTTTTCAATACCTGTTAAAGTGTTTTCAAACTGTGTATCTTTCAAAATATTTCGAATCTGTGGCCCAACAAAAATACCTTCTTTAACCTTTGCGTCACTTAGTCTTGGAAATTTCTGACGCAGGTATTGAAAAGCTGACCCATCTCTATCTAATGCCTTGACAAAGTTTTTCATTAGGCCCAACTTGATATGCAGTGGTGGTAATAATTTTTTTTTCGAATCTACTAATGGCATATGCTGTACATTTTTTTGACCTGGCTCTAGGAATTGACGAACAGGCCAGTTTTGTCTGGTGTAATGAAGTGCCTTTGCCCGACTGTCCCATTCACACAAAAAACAGCAAAACTTTGTGTAGCCTAGCTGCAGCCCAAGTAAAAGTGCAACAACTTTCAAATCGCCACAAATATGCCATTGGTGCTCATCGTATTTTATGCACGTCAATAGATACTTCATATTGTCATATGATTCTTTCATGTGAACTGCATACCCTACAGGAAGAGATGGTAAAATATTTCCAATATGCAATAACACTGCCTTTAAACTCAATGTTGAACTGTCTATAAACAATCTCCATTCTTCTGGGTTATAGTTTATATTTAAAGCCGCCAGTAAGCCGTTAATGTTACTGCAGAAAACCAAGTTATTCTCCATGTTGAAAAATGGTTCTAAGTCTCTGTGGCGTTTACGAAAAACACATACCGAAACATCGTCTTCTAACAAGTTCCACTGCTGCAGTCTTGATCCAAGTAACTCTGCCTTACATTTTGGAAGTTCTAAATCTCTTACAAGATCATTTAATTCTGACTGTGTTATTTTGTGCGGTTGGTGGCATGACGTGCTCGGTATAAAATCAGGATCTCTTGACGTTGATGACATATCTTCTTCCTGACGAATCACTCGATCGCCATGATCTGATTCGTTTTCTGATTCGCAAGTGTAGGATTCTGGGGGTTTTGGAATAGGATTTTCGTCACTGTGAGGCAGTTCTCATCGCAGACGGTATGTTTGGGTAGTTAATAACCGATTTTTTTTTCTTGGATATACCTGAGGCTTGTCCAACACAAGGTACCATGCAAAAGTAACAATCATTAATATGATTTGTAGGCTCTCTCCAAACCATTGGGACAGCAAAGCGCATAGACCGTTTTTTGCCATTTAACCAGCTCCTCAGACTTGAAGCACATATATTACAGCAGATGTGGGGTGCCCACTGTTTGTCTTGATCACCTAGTTTACAACCGCCTCCTTTGTTTATCACCCATTGTTCATCGATAGGTAGATCAACGAACAAACAAGTCGCACAGCAGCCAAGTCGTAAGGAATCACAGAAAACAGGGTACAGTCTAGGTCGTCAGGAAAAGAATCATACTCGGAAGTCCAACAATAGTCTAGTCGTTAGAGATATCAAAACAGCGAGCAAGCAACCGCATCCCAACGCAACAAATCGCAAGAGCAGATTGAAGCCAGGGAGGGAGGGGGGGTGACTAGTCTTACTTATCACACTATTCCGGTGCTCTCCCTGTTTATTTCACTCATATCTTTGTCATTTCTAAACCGGTTTGTGTCTTTGGTACCTCATTTGAAAGGTAATGAAACGTAGATATTTTAAAATTGTTTTGCACGAAAAACTTGTAGGTGATTGTTTCTAGTAAATTGAGTTTTTGAGATGAACGAAGATTTTTTCAACAAAAATTAAACTATTTTGCATGAGATAACGTCAATAATTTACATATGAGTATCAATTTTCGTATTTCAGAATATTTTTATTGTAAAACCAAGAAAAAAATCAAATGAAACACCCAATTTTCAAGTTTTATGACTTAGTTAACATATAAAAGACGTTAATTTTATATAATCTTAATAATTAGTATAATTCGAAAACGGCTAATGTTCGGACAGTAGTTCCTATAGTATACAAGCAGTTAAAATGACTTAAGCTCTTTTAACTATTTCACGCAGGTCGAAAGCAAGCTGAGTCCAGCCCTGTCCGCACAGCCGCCGGTGGCCAGTTCGAAAACGGCCGTATTTACTTTTTTATTGGCGAGTACGGATTCCGAACTTTCTGTATATTTTCTGCGGATGATTTGTAACACCCGTGAGTGCACTAAAACGGTACCGATCCGGCCGTAATTCAACGGCGCGTTTGCGGAAATAAAATTCATAAATTCGTAGAAAGTATATGGACAAGTATCCGATTTAAATGGAAAGTTGCGCCTCGCTGCGAGTTACGGGATCGGGCTGCTGCTGTCGTGGAGTGAGTTCGGCTATGCATTCGTATAGTTTTAACTGGAGTTTTTTAGCTAGCCGCCCGCAAATTGGGGGGTACAAGTTGAGGTACTTTTTGCGAGCAAATACTTCGGAGATCGGATAAGTAATTTGGTCAGCGCTCTGAAACCAAAAATTCAATAGTCAGCTGTGAATAAATTAGTCTTTAAATTCGTATTTACCCTTTTAGTTCGAATTCGTATTTTGGAAAAACTGGCATGGTATCCGTAATATATTAATAATAGCTGTGATTTCTGTAATAATAATAATAATAATAGTAATAGTCATTACTCGTATAAATAAAAGAAATCGCGATAAAAATTCATATATGTCAATGGTAAAGAAAACTTTTCATAAATGCGCTAAAATAATATAATCAAATTAGATTTGTTTGTGACACAAACTATATCATACCCGATAGTCAATCCGGTTTTAGGAAAAACTTTAGCACAAGTACATCATTAGTTAATATCTTGGATGATACCAGACATCATCAAGAACAAAAAAATAGAACGTGCATGGTTCTTCTCGATTTTAGTAAAGCGTTCGACACTCTGAATCATGAAATGTTACTACCTAAGTTACATTACCAGGGGTTTTCGAAGAACTCTGTAAATCTAATAATAATAATAATAATAATAATAATAATATTTATTTACTCAATGTACAAAGATAACAAACAATATGAGTAAATAAATATAAAATCAAAACAGGCCCAATAGAAGGCATCGCCTGTACATGGACCAATAATTTAAGTTGAAACTGTAGAATGCAAATGACAAAAAAGGACAAAAATTAGCTACAGTAGATTATGTATTTAGTTGATGTTCGTATTTATGAGTTTATGAATTTCAGTTCTAGATATAGAATGTAGCCACTTTTTTAAATTTCTTTTGAAACAATTTCCGAAACGTAAATCTTTTAAGTCGTTAGGTATAATTTCATAAAATTTAGGCGCTAAATAGAGATATGATCGCTGCATTATAGATTTATGCGGTTGAGGAACTACTGTGCCACGAATTTTGTATCTGGTATAATGATTATGTTTAATTTTTTGGTCGGTGTTTACAAATTTATGGTAGTGAGTGATACTGTGTAAGAAATAAAGCTGTCTTATATCATACATTCGAACATCTGCGTATAATTTTTCAGTGGGATAAAGTTTCGGTTTTTTAAATATCATTTTTAGAATACTTTTTTGAAAAACACCTAAATTATAGATATGTGAGGAACATGCAGCTCCCCATGCTAATATACCATATGTGTGATGAGGCTCAATCAGTGCATGGTATAATGTTCGAAGATATTTTTCTGTCAATATATTCCCAAGGTATTTAATTTTGTAGGATACAAATCTAACTTTCTTTAAAATATAATTGACATGGATGTCCCATCGTAAGTGAGGATCCAAGACCACTCCAAGGTATTTTATGTTGGGCACTCTATTAATTTGCATTTTTTGATCATTAATATTGAAGGAGAAATTTGTGTAACTTGGCAGATGTCTAGCATAAGATCCAAATGGTAAAAAATGTGTTTTAGAGTAGTTAATGCTTAATTTTCTACTGTTAAACCACCGAATAATTTTGATAAAATCATTTTCAATTACATTTTTCAGATCAGACCAGTCAGTGCCTTCATATAATATTGCAGTATCATCTGCAAAACTAGTTATTTTGCCAACACAATTAGTTTGGAAAATATCATTTAAATATATATTGAATAACAGCGGACCTAAGACAGTTCCTTGTGGGA